TATTCGTCAAACGTAAGGCGAATGCACCAAAAGTATATTTTCATAAAAAACCAAAGCAAAAGAAAGAAGAATTACGTGTTTATCTGAAGAAATAAAGAATTGATCGTTGAAGAATTAGTACCATTTTGCGTTTTAAGATGACGTGTATACTCGTCGAACGCAGTTAACTAGTTCAGCTAGATCAAACCCGTCCACGCTGTTCAGCGCGAACGTAGACGTCTGATCAATCTTTCCTCCGCGTTGTCCCTGATTTCTAATCTATTAAGAACCTCCGCATTACGGAAAACTGTGCGCTAAAGCCTCGCCGACAACGCCGGGGATCTATATTCGAGGATATTTGATCAGCTCTGATGCCAAGACGATTGATTTACTACCACCCCTCGGATGAGCAGCTGACGGTAACTGCGTCATTTGGGAATAATAAATGGGCGTAAATCAGGCCTCGAATTACAACGCGATGCCGTCAGATAAGCTGAACAGGGGCCGCTTCTTCTCCTTTCTTTTTCGACGGTTTGTTTACATGTTTATCAACCAATATCTGGGATCTCGTGTCCTGTCAGCCATCTCGGCTGCCTGGCTGAGTGATTAAGTGCGGGGCTGTAAAATTCGCCGAATCAGAATTTTAGCAGGTGACAGGCCTGTGGATAACAATCGGTTTCTGCGTCGCACACGGCGCAACCGAGGTGTCATGGATACACGACGGATTACCACGTTATTAAGGTGGCGTCGAGCTCCTTGGTCCCTGCGGTTGGAGATGTTTGTTCGCGTAAATCATTGTCCAGATAAGGTACACGTTCCTTCAAGCTAGTACTATTTCGCGCCTGCCTAAAACTTTTCCATAATCTGATTCTTTAACACCAAACGCGACGAATGAGATGCGGTGTTGACGGTGTCTCGATATCCGTCTACCGTTTTACTCGTCGGGAAGAGAATTTGGTAGTTGTTTGCTTTAAGCCAAATCTCGCTGATTTTGGTGACCTCCAAATATATTGTCAAGATCAACTTACTGAGTAATTGCTTCTTGTGCTTATAACCGTCTTTCAGTTTTAATTTTCGAGACATTTGTAGAACTTATCTTGAAATAAGGGAAAACCGAAAAGAAATTAATGAATTAATTAAGAGATTAATAATAGAAATTAATATTTAATGTATCTTAAAAATAATATGTAACACTTAGATTCGTCAAATTCAATTTAAATTCGATATTGTAGGTCTGTTCAAGGGGTTAAGAACAGTATTAAGCAATTTTGGCTCTTGTTCTGTTCTTTACAGCGAGAACAACCATTAAATAGAGAAAAGTATTACTCTATCATCTTGTTCATTTTAACATTAGGAGTATGAAAATGGTTAGAATAAAACTTAAATTGTATTTTTATACTTTTTATACTATTTTGTGTTAAGTTTCGGTTATTGTATATTGGACTGTATTTTCTTTTCAATGATGTTTAAGGTCGCATCAACTGCTGTAGTTATTAGCGAACGTTGTATCTATTATACTATTTTTGTAATTAAATGTATTTCTCTTAGAGATTTGATAAGATTTTCCATTTTATTTTCATTAAAATTGTACTCTAGTGATGAACCAATTTTATTGTAAGTGCAGAGATTCTTGTAATTGGTACAATATAGAAGTACTATCGATGTTTCACTGCAATTGTCTGTTCACAATCAGTGTAGATAGATTTCTAGCAAGATTGTGTGAATGAGTGATTTTTTTGTCAGATTCTGAGTCTAGCCTCCTGTTCTATCCAGGGAAAATTATTTACAGATTTGCATAAACGGAAGGGATTATAATTTAGTAACAATTTTCCTTCAATTCTGTTCGTAGGTACGTCTTAGGTTATATGTGGGTGGTACGACTAAGCAGGCCGAAATTCTTAGTCGTACCGATCTTAATATATTAAAATATGATCATTATATGTAAGAGCATCGGAAATGTTGCATACTGTTAAAATAAATAGTACTAATGTTCATTAAAGTTCTGAATAAAGCAAGTATCTTTTATTTAATATATCTGACAATTTATATACTCTTTTTCTTATGGGGTACGATATTCTTCCTCTACTTTTCGTCCGATGTTGCACTAGTGTTCTATGTGTTTCTGAAATGTATAATACTGTGTCATTTGTTGTTTTAATATTGTTGATTGAAGATGTTATTGCTATATTTTACTAATCCTCTTTTATGATTATGGTAAATACACCATTAATGTCCATAAGTTCCACTATGAATATAAAGACTATTTCTTTGAGTAAAATTTTTATTGTAGATTTCGGTTTAACTATTGCGTATCCTGTGCCTTAAAGGTTCTAGAATCCGTCAGTGTACACGTGGATATATTCATAGTATTTATTCAGGAGTTCATTATTTACTGAAGTCAGTGTTACACGGTTTGTATCGGAGTTAGAGAAAATTGAGAGGTCTATATTAGTTTGTATGTGTAGCAGAGTCTATAGCTGGAATATTGAGTCTTTAACAGGTATTGTTGCAGAATCTAATACTGGATTCCCGTTCTATGTTGTATGTTCCGGAGCAGAAAGGATTTATATAATTATTGTATTCGTTATATACTTCGTACAATCGTTTAGAGAAAGTATTTAGGTGGTAAGCTAACCAGGTTTGGTAAGAGTGATGGATGATTTTTATGGTTTGCGTAGTATAGGATTTTCCTTCTGATTTTGAATGATGTTTTATTGGCTATTTTAAAGATGGTTAGAATAGAGCTGGTTCTGAATGTTCGTGTAATCATTCGAATTGCCATGTGATGAATAGAGTTTAATAATTTCTGAACCGAACGGCATGTAAAATCATACGAGTCACTCAAAAGCCAATGTGGTTAAGTCTATTTTTTAATGTTTTCTGATTTTTGTATATTTTAATGGAATAAATTATTAATCTTTTCAGTTATTCAAAGATTTACACATTTCTTCGTTTTTTTCTAAGTCAGAAAGTCCTTCTCTTTATAGCTTCTGAATACGTTTTATAATCATTTCTGAAGCCAAAATATTAACTTTCTCCATTTTTTTCTGGATACCAATCGTATTGGCTTCCGAGCGACTTATACACAGGGAGAACCACGAAACGTGATCAGCTTAGATTATTTTGCTGCTAGCGGTTCGATCGGAAATTTTGTTCAACCCTTTTTTTAGAGTTATATCTTTTGGGAGATATTGAGTTGAATTCGACAAGCATCATAACAAATATTTTTTTCTGAATCTAATAGGACTGAAGAAAACTATTAGATCGAAGAATTTTGCAAGCTTCTTAAAGAGAAATAGCAAACCACACTGTTGTACACTTTCTAGAGTGCATAATTGCATTACACATACTAAAATGTTTTGAAATGTTTCGTTCTATAAAAAATTTTTAATAAACACAATTAGTGTACAAAATCGCGTAAAATAAGTAAAAACAACATTAATTCCCAGTGCAAGAGGATAATCTGTGAATTCGATTTGTAATGCTTCGCTCCCAGAGATAGGTATATGCAGTGCATATATTTATCTTGTAGACATTGTATCGAGAGATGCAACCATTCGTGCATTGAAGTCGTGTTGGTTACATAGCTAAAGTTCTGTTTCCACGAGAACACAACTTTGATATATGAGTTGTTGCATATCTTAAATATAATTTTCAATTCTTATTAATAATAATACATTATAATGTTCAATGTCAAGTGTGATTATATTTCTTTTTATTAAAACCAGTTCAAACTCAATCGAAGTCTAAAATCAAATTACAAGTTGCAAAAGAAACTGAAGTCAAGCAACGGTTATATGCATATGCAATTTTGCTTAGATCGTTGGCCTTAATAATATATTCAATTTTATATGGATAAATATTATTATATGCAATTAAATATTTTTTATCCGATGCCATATGTGTCATTTAATGTCAGTATTCATCAATTTTTTTTATATCTGTAGCATTTATAGAGTTCCACTTAACCTGAATTTCTTTTAGACCTGACTTTCGTACAAAATTATGTACACTTACTTAACAACAAAATTTGCTATTCAATGCACCATCAGTAATGGTGTGAATAAAAAATGATAGCACACTATTTCTCTAATAGAAATAGGTAAAACAGTTTAGATTATAATGTGTGTTAGGTCTAAAGTGGTTAAAAATACAAAGGTCATCGTGTTATCTTATAAAAACCGTTTTCTAGAAAAATCAAGTGATTATCATAAAAACAGCCTCTTCAACACAGAATAAGTTTTATTTTGAACATTTTTCGAATAATAAATAGTTACAAAGATAATTGTGTGAATGAAGTATTGTAAGACACTTCATATATCAATTGCTACATGAACATAGTAACTTCTATAGAAACTGCGAATTAATGTAAATAAAATAACTTATTTTGAATAGTAAAAATAATTATTAAAAGTTATATCAAGATACCTTACACACGTGTCAATTTATCCCATAGCGGTATAAATTATCACTTAAAAATATCGATCCTTTAGTAAAATACAAATTACAAATAAACATACTTTCAATTGGCACTCAGATCAGTCTAAGAGTATTAAATCCAAATTGAAATACAATAGTAACCCTATTACTATCTCATCAAGAAATAGCAGACAATAAATTGACCAATCGCAGATATTAATCACCAAAGAGCGATATATCCCTCCTTCATGCACTTGCAAAAAATTTCCTTTTGATTTTATTAGGAATAGAAGAAGTCTAACATGTTATTAATATTGTGTAAAACTTTTATAAACTGTAGATGAAAATTTTTCGAAATATAAATGTTTGTTTATAATCATGCATCTTTGTTTAAGACTGTCTGGTATTTCTCAAGTAAATATGAAAATTTCTCCTGGCACTCAAAGGGTTAAACAACACGACTATGGATATTACCTAGATTAGAATACAGAAACAAATTTTCAGAATATAGAATACAATAACAAAATTAAAAAACAATATTGAATTTCTATAGAGTTATAGTAAGCAGGTTCCCTTAGAAGCAATCGATTTTCGTTTTGCAGATGACATTACTATCCCTGTGCAGAGGCGGGAACGAATTATCAGAGGAAACCAAGCGAAACTTCGAGTCGTGGTTGCAGCAGCAACAGTTGGGCTTGGGTTTAAACCCGATCGTACCTTCCTCGAATCACCATCACCACCATCATACGCAGAGCCCTCAGCCAGACGGAGGTGGTAGCATGGGCTCGGCGGGCGGCGCCATCGGTCCTCCACATCCTGCACTCCTCCAATACTCGCATAAAACTAGGATGAGGACGAGCTTCGATCCTGAATTGGAGTTGCCGCGTCTTCAACGGTGGTTCGGTGAAAATCAACATCCATCGAGGCAACAAATACAACACTACGTCTCGGAATTAAACTCTCTGGAGTCTCGACGGGGTAGGAAGCCACTGGACGTGAATAACGTTGTGTACTGGTTCAAGAACGCGAGGGCTGCTCAAAAAAGGGCTGAGAATAGAGGTGTCAACGGGTATAGTCCGCCTGGTCTCAGCCCGAGAGGTGCTAGCATTGTCAGTGAAGATTGTTCGGACGAGGAAGAGGATTCCAGACATCAGGTATGTATTAAAACATTAGTCAGAATTCAATTATTTTTGTAGAGAATTTTCATTATTTCTGCTCAATTATTTTTGTAGTAAATTTTCATTATTTCAGTTTAATTACTTTTGTAGCAAATGTTCGTTATTTCAATTTAATTATTTCTGTAGCCAATTTTCGCTATTTCAATCGTTTGAATACTATGGTTCTTCGCGAAAATTTGATCGAAATACAGTAGAATTCCGATTATCCGACATGCTCGTGACCAAAGCAGTACTGGATATACTAGACTATACTCATACGTATGATAAAACTGAAAATATAATTTTAAAAACGATGGAATAATATAGTAATACAATTTATTAATAAAAGTAAAACATGTAAAATAAAATATATAGAAGTAAAACATTTTGTTTTTAATTTTCTTCTCTTTCTATAAAACACGAGGCAGTTTGCTTCATCATTTTTTCTTTGTTAAAAAATAAATTTAGGAGGATTTGGAGATTCATTTGTTTTATTCCCAGGCAGAAGAGCAGTGGGGCTAAAAGGACTGGACAATCGCGTACTGGATAATCGGAATTCTACTGTATGTCAAACGATGCTATCGTGTTTTTTTCTTATTTGCTTAAAAAATAACAAACAACACGATTCCAGTTTTCTAATTCCATAATATTGCTAAACGTACTATTCCTGATTAAATTATCTGTTTTAAAATTTGACTACATAAAAGTTCTGCATTTATTTTTATTCGTTCAATTTTGTCAATTTTCATATTATTGAATTATATGTTTTTCAATTTTTTTCTACTATTTGTTTGCCTTTTCATTGAGAAATATAAATGTATAACTTGTTTACCTTTATTTCATAATCGATCTGTGCCATTTTTCTATAGAAATATTAATTACAGTAGTTTTCTTTTTAAGTAAATTTTCTTTTTTTTAATCTATTCTTTGGAGTAAATTATAATAATTTAATAATCCTCGAATTTGTAAAGATATTATTGAATTATAAATAATAACAAGCATTATATTTTTATTATATTACAACTTATGTTAAACAAAACAAAATTGTGGAATTCCTGTATGTATATACACAGTTATTGATTTCTACATACTATAACTTTTTTGGACAGATTCTTTCAACTGACCTTACGTAAACCCCATAAGTATTCTAAATAATAAATGAATAATAAAATAAATAAACAGTTATTATGATATTATAATTGCGGTATTGAGCTTCCGCTGCAAGTCGTACATATATGATATTAATGTGCCTATTATATCCTTCCGGTATAAATTATATTTATTTAATTAAGTGAACAGCTTCCTATTACTAATCACCAATAAGAAAGTAATTGTTACTTACCACTTTATTTTTAATACACAAGCAATTTTCAATTAACAAGTTTTCTGTAATGATATTGATATCGTTACAAATTGTTGGTATTCGAATATTTCAGTTTATCTGTTATATCCTCGCATATTTTTGAAATTCTTTTCGTCGTCGTGTCTGATGTATTTTCTCAAATATCTATACTGCAGTTACAATTTCTATGCTAAAATATTCCATCCAGAAAAAATCAGAAGTGTTCACTT